CGTGGTTGAGGGAGGACATTGAGGAGGACGGTGTGATGCTGCCTCCTCCGACGTGATACGACGACGAAGGCGGTGTAGGGGGTAACAGATGGTTGTTGCTGCTGGCAGGTAAGGCACCTGAAGATGTCTCCGCTGTTCTCGAACTTGGCGTCGGAGACGTCGCAGGTGTCCAAGAGGTTGGCGTCGGTGTCGCTCGTGGCGTCCTGGAGAGCGGCGTCGGTGGGAAATATGGTTGCCATGGAGCTGCACGGATCGACGTGGGTGTTCTTGGACAGCTGAGCGACGAAGGTGTTCCTGGAGACCCAAATGACGTGGGTGTTGGGGATCGACTCTGGGAAGTTGGTGTGGGAGGTAAGCGTTCCGAGGTAGGCGTTGGGGGTAGGTTATTGGTTGTGTGAGAGAGAGTGGAGGTAGGTGTTGGGATGAGCTTACTATTTGGTTGAGGGGGAGTGGAGGTAGGAGTCAGGGGGAGGGTGCTGTTTATGTTAGGGGGAAGAGGATCTTCAGGCTGGGGATTTGGTCTCTGTGGCGATGAAGGATTTGTCTGTTTTGGTGGGGATTTAATCTCTTTTGGTGAGGAGCTTGTCTTTCGTAGTGTGGGAGCGTTTTCTGATAAAACAGGCGTCACTTGTATGAGTGAGGGATTTATCTGCTCTGGTGGGTGATTTGCGTTAATTAACGGCGGGTCAGTCTGTTTTGGTGAGGGTGCTGTCTGCGAAAGAATATCTCCCTGTTTTGGCAAAGGGTTTTCTGATTTTGAGGGAGGATTTGTCTTTGGTGACGAAAGAATTGTCTGTGCTGGTCGAGGATTGACTTGTTCCAAAAAGGAATTTGTCTGTATTGGTCGGAGATTTTCTTGGTCTGCTTTGGGGTTTAACTTTTCTAGGGGTAAACTAACTTGTGTTGGGAAAGTCTCTGTCGATATCTGTAAGGCCTTTGCTGGTAGTGTGGGGCCATTAATGTGATCTGGAGGTAACTGTGTCTTTGGCTGTGGAAAATTATTTAACTCTACTGGGGTATTTTGAGGTATTGGTGGGGGCCTAGTGTTTGGTTTTTTGGGCCCATGTGCCTTTCTTGGCATCGCTAAAGGGGCGCTTGCTGGGGGAGTCTTCGGAGGCGGCGGCGCTGCACGGACTGGACCTCTGGATGAGGGTGTTTCCTTCACCGGCCCAATCTTCGAGTTTGTCGATTTTGGAGAAGGAGCTGCCGGATTTGCGGGCAAGAATGTGGAGAATGTAGGCCCCGCTGAAGTCTTCATCGGGCTTTGAATTAGCTGCGCAGTTGGTTGTTCGAGACTCGCTTCCTGAGGCGGCGTATGGAACTGCTTGCTATTATTGTTACTGATTCTCCGTGGAACAATTTCAGGAGTAAATCCACTGGCTTCTGATAAAGTAGGAAGAGCTTCTGATTTTGCAGGTACTGAGTTCGATACCCTTGACTGGCGATGAGCCGCAGAGGGTCGAAATCCTGCAGAGGGTCTGTATACGTTTGGTGGCGGGCGAGGACCTGTCCTGAGAGGGCGGGGTCCAACAGGAGGAATGCAGGGCTTGGGGAGAGGATAGACGGGTAGGGGCATGGGGACAGGAAGAGCATTGTTCTGTGCCAAGGCATAAGATTTGCGCCTCCATTTGTTATCCTCGATTTCGTCCAGTTCCTCCTGTGTGCGTACGATGGTGCGACGCATGGCGAAGGTTCACTTTGTACAGTTGGTTTTGTCACAAGATAATACTGTAGTGTCTGCATTCACAAACATCAAATGTCTTTCTGAGAAATAAATATAATGGCTATTGATTTTCCATCACGAAAAGAGCAAGATTGATCGGCTGTAAATGTCAGACAAATGAAGACTGTATATATCTCTCGTGCTGTTATAATTTTTTCAGTGTTGTGATACGCATGACCTGCTGCTTACACGCCACAGACAAGCGAGGTCAAGAATGAACCTGCTCTTTTTTGTGTGTGTTGCATTTTTATCACGATGAGATCAATATATATTAAACAATATTTGTGAATTTACGTCCGTCAAGACTCACGGTAACACTAGTTTGAGAAGGTTACAGAGATCCTGTGGTAGAGCCGCAAAGAGAGCACGTTGACGTTGACGGAAAGTAAAGAAGGCATCTTCAACCTGTGATTTAGTAGAAAGAATGAGCTGTTGAAGTAGGAGACGGGCATGATCAGGAAAGGGAGTGCCCAGTGGGTTGGTTTGAGAAACTCACGAGACACCATCACAAAGACTCAAGAATCAACTAACCACCACTATGATTCAAGAATCAGCCCAACACCACTATGATTCAAGAATCAGCCCAACACCACTATGACTCAAGAATCAACCCAACACCACTATGATTCAAGAATCAACCCAACACCACTATGATTCAAGAATCAACCCAACACCACTATGATTCAAGAATCAACCCAACACCACTATGATTAAAAAATCAACCCAACACCACTATGATTCAAGAATCAACCCAACACCACCACCATGATTCAAGAATCAACCCAACACCACTATGATTCAAAAAACCCACAAGACACCATCATTCTCAGCATCGCATTTAGTTCACTCAGTGTGTGCTACTGCCTCCACAACACATCACAACCAATTCCTCTTCTCTTAGTAAAAACCACGAAGGTTCTCTGGCCATTCTTAACCCATTCGTTTAGCTTAGTTAGCTTCTCCTCACGTATACTATTTTCTTAATTGTGTTCCTCTATATCTTATTCGAGATTTCCCTGAAAAGTGGGAACGTATGGGATAGTATGTAAGATAACGGAGTGAAGAAAGAAAAAAGAGAATGGTAAAGCATTCCAATCGTCATTCCAAATTATGGAATAATGAAAATACATCAAGCAGTGGCCAGAAGATTGATGCAGGCAGCAGAGGTGACACTGCCGTAAGCAGTAGATGGGAGACTTGAAGCAAGCAGTAGGAAGAGTACTGACGCAAGCAGTAGACGGGAGACTGACGTAAGCAGTAGACGGGAGAGACTGACGCAAGCAGTAAAGCGCTTAGTGATTCATCAGATGGCCGTCACGATACGAGCACTCCCACCAAACCCACTTCACTGTAACCATCAACAATACTCTCCATACCCACTACACCACTCACTACAACACCAATGCCCACTGCAACACCGCTACCCACTACACCACTCACTAAAAGGACCCCAATGGAAAAAAGTGACATTGATTTGACTGGGTTATCCAAGGTTAAATCTACCTAATGTACTTTATATGTGTTCATATCCGTGCGTCCTCATGACCATGTAATATATAACATCTGTATACTGTGTACGCAAACCTAAATCAAGACACATTTACCACCACCACTTACTATACCCCACCACTACCACCCACTGCACTACCACCACCACCACTACAATCATCACCACCATCCACTACAACCATCGCCACCATCCACTACAACCATACCAACCCACTACAACCACCACCACCCACTACAACCACCACCGCCACCTACTACAACCATCACCACCACCCACTACAACCACCAGCACCCACTTCGTAACCATCACCCACGTTACTTCATTCTCAAAAGTCAAGGTGTTTAGATAGCTTGTAAACTGATCAATCGGAAACAAATATCACATATTTCTTAACGGAAATTCATCAGAATGAGAGACAGAGAGAGCGGTGCTCCACCAAGGACAATCTGGGAACAGGTTCTGTTCTTAGATGTTCCTGGAAGTACTCTTACAATATAACGAGTCATTGTAACGAGTCATCGATACACTTTCTCGGTTACTTAAGGACAGTTGGGGATGAAGAGCTACAGCCTTGTTTTGCCACGGGAGAAAGTGGCTACAAGGAACTGTTTAAGGTCGTAGTCAATGACTGCTGCTAACATTACCCTGTCCCAGTATGTTATGGTCTGACTTCATTTTATCGAATTTCCTTTTTGCATAATCGGTAGAACGGTTGGCCTATAAAATCTCCCTGCAGTCCATGACAAAAAAAAAATAGGTACACCATGGTGGAATAAACAGTGCAGCCCAGCTGATGTTCTCTACTCTGGATCCGTTATAAAGCCAACGGCACCAGTGAACAGGTCATCATATGACTGACACCCGAGTCTACAGACATTTTTATTCCTTTCTTCCCACTACCAATATATAAAAACCACCTAATGACACAAATATCACCACCACCACCACTTACCACCATAGCCACCACCACCACCATTGCCTACTACCAGCACCACCACCTACCACCACCACTTGCCACGGCCGGGAGCAGGCCACGCGGCGACTGACCTTAAAAGAATGTCGGCTTTACTGTCTTGTTCGGTGCGTGTTTACTCGCGGTGTTTTATCTCCTCATAATATTCATTATATAACCTCAGAATTGCAGTGCACCTTAGATCTCTCTCACGAGAGCAAAGACTCTATATCACGAGACAGACAGCTGCTGTCTTACTAGCGCAAGAAAATCCCCTATAACCTCAAAGTTTCTACTGCTATAATTCATTTTATTTCCCCTTAAATGCTGTTATATATCAAATCTAACAATGCAGCAACTAGCATGCAGTAACCAACATTTAACCTTATTAAAATATTCAAAATAAAACGCTAAATCCGTCTACGGAATGGGAGGTAATCAGGTTTGATCCTAGAAATACCGGGGGCACCGTCAATTATTGGGATCAAGAGCCCTCTACCAGTATCAAGGCACCTACTTTCAAGTGGTAATGGTTTCTCAGCCCGTCTGGGAGTTAGCGTGTGGCACTAAGAGTGCCACAGACAAATTGGCAGCAGTGCCACGCAAGACAGGATGGTCGGCACACTTTCAGGCCTTAACAAGGAAGAGCCTGGCTACGAGAGTAGCGCTTGTCTCACGGATTAAGGCACGGAGGATCGATCCTACACCACTCCTTGCGTTGAATGACAATGGTTCACCATCCCATAAATATGATAAAAATAATTAGTGGCAGCGGCAGGATACTGATGGGAATACTTGTGGTCTCTAGTTTATAATAATGCTCTTTGCTCATAGTTTCTTTCAAGACAAGAATACTGGCGCTTGAAAAATGCAGAGATCCAGTGGAAGAACTGGAGAGTTGCGGCAGTTGTTGAAGTGCGAAGTAGGTTTTTACCTTAAGGTTTCGTCATGGTATTCACAGATTGTTTACTGTCCACTACCAATAAAACATTTAAATCACTGGAATCGCTTCAGAGCTCTCATAATGCACTCTCCGTAAACGGTAACGAAATGTAGCAGATTTATCTATAGATGGAAAATTACGCAAGGTCTACCTATGTAATCTACAGTAGACTACCATAACCCACATGGAATGAGGAATATAGCAGGAAGTGTAAAATAAAGGGCGAAAATCAGGTGTGCCATGACCGCAATGAGCGAACAGTGTCAACATCCGTGGTCCAAGACTCGTTCACCTGCTACCAGCTGATTGGCATGGTAAAAGTTACTATCAAAACAGATAAAAACAGGGAAGAGAACGAGAGACAGACAGACAGACCGATAAACAGACAAATAGACAGAAGGTACTCAGTTCTTGTATTCAATAACTTCTAGGAATTTCAATAGCAATCTGTGTCTGCTTTATTAAGAACATGTCAGGCCTTTTTATATTCTACTTCATGTCTAATTTTAAACATGAAACACACACACACACACACACGCTTACACATACACAAATACAAACACACACACATGAACATACAATCTGATATCCTTGACCTATATACTTTCTAAAGTACTGGATAAAATCATTAGAAAGTGAGTTGGCAACCCCTAAAAAGGAAGGCAGTCGCAAAAAAAGGGATAAGTGGACTTCAATTCTCCATGTTGGAATGCAAAGGCTCTATGTACAGAGCGAACCTTTATTTACACACGCGTGTCTCTACGAAGAGCTTTGTCAAGTCAGTGATAAAGATTAACTTAGCTGTGTCGTCTGTATATACAGATTTGCCCTGAACGTAGTGTTTTAAGCTTGTGGTGTGCCACAAGGATCAGTACTGGGGATGGTACAGTTCGTGATGACGAGTGGGGTGCTCCAAGGCTTAGTACAGGGACTGGTTCTGTTCTTAATACAAGTAAATAAAATAGTGCTAATCGAGTCATTCGTCACTGCGTGTACGTGATGTTAAGTTGTTAAGATGTACACAATGTTAGAAGGTGGGAATGTACTCCAAAGAGACCTGGACAGACTACAAGAATGGTCCGGCAGGTGACTGCTAAAATTCAACCACAGCAAGTGGGTGTGAGTACAGGTGAGGGGGACTGAAAACTACCCACTGAATACAACCTAGAAGAAAAGCATCAAAGGCCATGAACAAGAGAACTCAGGTGTAAGCATAATACAGAGTACATCAGTGGAGATAAGACGTAAAAATACCAACGCGATGAAAAATTAAACACAAATGTTGCATAATGCGATCAATAAAGGATCGCGTTATACATTTGTGTTTAATTTTTCCACAGAGGATGTCACCAGAGACGCACAAGAACAGAATAATCTCGGCCAGATTTGCGAGACTAGTAAACCTTGTGAATTACCTTTAAGAACCTCAACAAAAGATTTCTTTCCAGTGCATGCCAGATCCATCACAGAGGATGCAGCACCAGCGTGGAGCCCACACTTGGTGAACCATGTCCAAAATTGGCGACAATTACAAAAGAGCGCTAAAAACGCATGGCAGAAAGAAAATGCAGATATTCGCAACTAACTGTGTACATCAGAGTGGAATGGAGAGGGGGGAGTTGAATGATAGCTCTAGGCCTTTCATGTTGCAATTGACACATCAGGAGCTTGCAATGTTGCAGAAAAGGGGATAAAGCCCCAGTAAATACGTTCAGAGGGACCGTTTTGCTAGTAAAAATAACACACAGAAACTTAAAGTACCACGAACAAGGACACAAAGAAGCTTAAAGAACCACAAACACGGGCACATAAAAGCTTAAAGACGCAGATAAGCTACCTGAAAGTCACCCAAGGTTGATTTCGGGGGGGAAGTCATCGCCCCCCACGGCCGGGTCTCAGACCAGGCCACAGGAACATCAGAACTAATGATAAGTTGCAGTGCTATACTCGTCTACCGTTCGAGCTAAATTCCAATCTGCCGACTATCATCCGTCAATACAAAAATGATTGGGATTAGTTTAGAGTTAGACCCTTCGTGTTTTCCAGTAATTCTAATTGTTATGTTAACTCAGGCCTCTGACACTATCAACTAACCCCCCAGGAAATTAATTCAAATCTAATTACTCTATAGATATTAACCCACTAAACACTAACTTAATTGTATATTAACTAGTCTACAGTCATACACACAGGAGAGAACAGCGTTTCGGTCCGACTTGGACCATTTACAAAGTCATACTAATATCACCAATCCCTAAGCGACCGTTATCCACTATGTAACACTAGAAACTAAGCCATTTCTAGCCCCAGCTACCACCATAGTATTTAACATTGACTGCTAACCACTTACAGCTACCTACTAGCCCCTGGTTACTACCATAACTACCATAACATTGAATTAATCTTAGTCTGCCCGAAATGCCTAGTCATGCTAGGTGTGACAGTGGCCCTCTCTGTACTTGGTTTTATATATGTAAACCACACAATATCCTATAATCTGTAAACCCCACATTATAACCTTTATAGAGAATAAACTTGATTTGATTTTATATTAACCGCTAACCCACCACCTGCCACGAACTATCTACAAGCCCCACAGCTACTATCATGGTAATGACTAGAACTAACCACTAACCCATCACCTGCCACTATCTACAAGCCCCCGAGTTACTATCATAGTAATGATTAGTACTAACTACTAACCCTAAATGATAGGATGGATAATGAGAACTTTCAAAACGAGAGATGCCAAGCCCATGATGATCCTTTTCAAATCACTTGTTCTCTCTAGGCTGGAATACTGCTGTACATTAACATCTCCATACAAAGCAGGTGAAATCGCAGATCTAGGGAGTGTACAGAGATCCTTTACTGCACGTATAAGTTCTGTCAAGCACCTTAAATACTGGGAACGCTTGGAAGCACTTGACTTGTACTCGTTGGAACGCAGGAGGGAGAGATATATCATAATCTACACTTGGAAAATCTTGGAAGGAATGGTCCCAAATCTGCACACAGAAATCACTCCCTACGAAAGTAAAAGACTGGGCAGGCGATGCAAAATGCCGCCAATAAAAAGTAGGGGCGCCATTGGTACACTAAGAGAAAACACCATAAGTGTCCGGGGCCCAAAACTGTTCAACAGCCTCCCATCAAGCATTAGGGGAATTGCCAATAAACCCCTGGCTGCCTTCAAGAGAGAGCTGGACAGATACCTAAAGTCAGTGCCGGATCAGCCGGGCTGTGGTTCGTACGTCGGACTGCGTGCGGCCAGCAGTAACAGCCTGGTTGATCAGGCCCTGATCCATCGGGAGGCCTGGTCATGGACCGGGCCGCGGGGGCGTTGATCCCCGGAATAACCTCCAGGTAACCTCCAGGTAACCCACCACCTGCCACTAACCACCTACCAGCCCCCTAGCTACTGCTACACACAACACTAGGCACTAAGTAGGTACTTCCCGTGTCATATGGTTCCACTTAACCTTAATTACCGAGGCTCCTTAACAGCGGTGCCAAGGCCTCCCTTAGCCAGACTGACACATCAAGGGTGACATTCTGAACAGGGCCATCCACGTGGCACTGTGAACGTGGCCAGCTAATGGAAGTGTTGATATCTGTTAAAAATGCGTTAATATTTGGTGAAGGGCTCTTGATCCAGGGAATTGAAGCTGCCCTCCGTTTCTGCAGAACAAACCTGATTTCTCATTCCCAAGCACTGTATGACCGTTAAGAGATTAGCGCTTCCCCATAATAATAATAATAATAATAATAATAATAATAATAATAATAATAATAATAATAATCCTTTCAGTTTTGGACTAGTCTCGTTGCAAACCTTCAGACCTTTTCCAATTTTTTAATGTGTTTTCAACAAACTGTGTTTGCTGGGATAATCTCAGCTCCTGGCCTCTTCGACTGATATGATGGATATTACTGGTTTCTGGCCTGTTTAACCTTGTCATACCTACTCATAAAGCTGTGTGTTGAGTTTGCCTCCCTATCTTTCTCTTTCACTCTAAGACTAAATTATTATTATTATCAAAAAGAAGCGCTAAACCATCTAAGACTAAAGAAGCACTTCCTAACATCCTCATGGGTCATCTGTGTCTGCAGCATCCACCTTCGTTGAACCTCTTTTCGTAGCTCATTCCTCTCAGTTCCGGGACAAGTTTGGATGCAAATCTTGATTCTTTTCGAACTTGTCACGACGTAACCCTTCTATAGCGGATGGCACCCTTCTATAGCGGATGGCACCCTTCTATAGCGGATGGCACCCTCTTCGGCAGTAACAAATGGTACTCCTCCCTCTTCCCGTTTTCTCTCACACAGTTACACTTGTTTTTTTGGCGGTACATTGGTCATGGTGCCGCTCATCCTTCTCTAGATCCTCTGTCGCTGCTTAACCCCTGCGGGTTTTGCACTTCCCCACGATTAATAATAATAATAATAATAATATTCTCTGCCTACCCTCATCTGTTCAGTACTAGTATTATTTGTATTAGTAGTAGTAGTAGTAATATTAGTATAGTAGTAATAGTAGTAATAATAACAGTATTAGTAATAGTAGTCATAATAGTAAGAGTAGTAATACTAATAGTAATAGTTATAATAGTAACAGTAGTAGTAATGCTAGTAGTAATTATAATAGTAATAATAGTATTAGGAATAGTAATAACAGTAATAGTAACATTAGTAATAGTATTAGTAATACTAGTAATAGTATTAGTAATAATAGTAATAGTAATAGTAGTAATACTGGTAGTAGTATCATGGGGAAGCGTTAGACTCGTGTGGGTCTTACAGCACCTGGAGCATGGGAGTTATCAGATTTGATCCCAGGGAAGGGATCAAGAGCCCTTCAGCAGCATGAAGGCGACGACCCCCTTTCCTATCAACCTGGTCATACTCTTCTCCCTCTCTTCCTTTCTCTTTCGTACCCTCTGTCCTGTTCTTTTCCTCTTTGCTTTCTTTTTTATTCTCTTTCTTTCCTGCCCTCCTTCCCCTATTTTTCTATACTTCCTTCTTCGCCCTTTCCTTTCCTCTTTTTCTTCCTTACCCCATTCATTTCTCTCCCGCTTTCCTCTTCCCCCTCTCTCTTACCTCTATTCCTTATTCTCCCTTCATTTTTTTTTCTCCTTCATTCCGTCTCTCCTGTCCTCCATTCCTTTCCCTTCCTCCTTCCTCTCTTTTCTTGCCTTTCTTCCTTTCCCCTATTCCTCTGCCTTTCCTTTTAACTCTCACCATTAATGTTCCGCTACGTTCCGTTACGCCCGTAAATTGTAATAAAAAAGAAGCGCTAAACCCATTAGGGTAATACAACGCCACTACGTCCGTAAATAATGGATTAAAACAAGCATGGTTGAAGTTTGTGTTGTCTGCAAAGTACGATAAACCAGTATTGAAAATAGCAGGTGTATACATGTACACATCACGGTCTTTGTATACGAGGGGGGTATGATAAGTTGTGGTATGACTCACGAAATCGTAATGACACGATTGCAAATAAGCCATACCACGGGCGAGGTTAGAACCCGCGATCAGAGAGTCTCAAAACTCCAGACCTGCTCGTTAGCCACTAGGCCAGTTAGCCACAATAACATTCCTATGTTTGTATAAATATACCTAGTTGGATGAATCTTATTGTGGCTAGCTGGCCTAGTGGCTACCGCAACGGTCTGGAGTTTTGAGACTCTGATCGCGGATTCTAACCCCGCCCGTGGTATGGTTTGTAAGCTGTGGTATGGCCGATCCTGTGCCACGGACAGTATGCTGTGCCACAAGCTGTCTCTATGGCAGGTTGTGTCCGTTGGTTCTGTTCTGCTGTATGTCGCAGCATCAAATGGTTGCAGACGCTGTTCTGCAGTAAGCCGCAGCAGCAAATTCCTCGCTGAATGCACATGTCACTTCTCCTGCCCTTTTCCTCGCACGTTTCTGCCTTATAAAACCCCGATCGAAACGTTTGTCCCGACACTACTGAACAGGAGGTTCGTTATTTAGAAATCGTGTACGGTTCAGAAGCACGTCTGTACAGCACCGCTGGGTTCACAGCTAAACACACAGCGCAGCATAGGTCAACACAACACAGCACCACAACCACCGCCACTGTCTCACCTCCACACTCCACTGAGTATTATCAAGAACTGTTGGTGTAGTGGTGTAGGGAGTGAGATGAGGTGTGGTGGCGGTCGGGGGTACACCTCTCAGTTACCACACACCAGATATTTAACAATATTCCCCGCCATTGCCGTCGATATTACAATCCCACCTGGGTAATATAATGATATTGCTTGTGCTCTGCTGTCTTCTGTGAACGCTGAAAGTGGAAGCTCAGTAAGGAATGGTGTTTAAAGAGTCACCTTTTCAAATGCCGTGGCAAGGTGACAGGTAACGTAGTGCTGACCATACGTTACCTTCTTAATTTATAAATATTGCAGATAACTTACTGTTAGCGGTGCGATTTTTTACAGTGTATATTAAAAACGCAGATTATTTTTAAATATGTATATATATATATATATATATATATATATATATATATATATATATATATATATATAATATATATATATATATATATATTATATATATATGTGTGTGTGTGTGTGTGTGATTAGATTATTTATAGTTCAGTATTAGACAAAAGTAATGACTGACACAAATCTTGAGAGAGAGGCAGGCATACCGATGGTGGACAGGCTAGTGTGGAGGAGTTATGTGTTGGATATTAATTGCATCAACAGGTGTGTGTTGTGTGTGTGTGTGTGTGTGTGTGTGTGTGTGTGTGTGTGTGTGTGTGTACTAACCTATTCACGTATGTGTGCGTGTGTGTGTGTGTGTACTAACCTATTCACGTATGTGTGCGTGTGTGTGTGTGTACTAACCTATTCACGTATGTGTGCGTGTGTGTATATATTAACCTACTCATATATATGTGCGTGTGTATACTAACCTTCTCAGGTATATGTGTGCGTGTGTGTACTGACCTACTCACGTGTGTGTGTGTGTGTGTGTGTGTGTGTGTGTGTGTGTGTGTGTGTGTGTGTGTGCTTACTTTCCTGTACACTTGTCTGCACACCTGTGCAGTATCATTATTACTACCCCCACTGTAACCATTTTTGTGTATTATCACCATTCTTAGTCATCATCTTGATCACCATCACCCTCCATCACCTCCACTAATCGCCATCACCACATCTACTAGCCATCCTTCACCACCATCGTTACCACATACGAATTAAGGAGCACTGCAGTAGGCCTACTGGCCTATGCTAGGCACGTCCTATTCACACCCACCCATACCCATTCATGTACCTGCCCTACACTAATCGCCATTATCTTCACCACTAATCTCCCTCCCCATTACTAAGCACTACCACCACCACCACTACCACCACCACCACAGCCACTAACTTCTATCACCATCAGTCACCCACTACAAACTATCACAGATACCACCAACAACAAGTCTAGCACCACCACCACACAGGACCTCAGTGACCCAGTTCGACACAACCTCTGCTGTTAGTACTGCTTGTTATTATAATCTCTGAGTAATCATACTCATACAACTAATACAACTAATCTCTGAATAATTTTCTGCTTTATACAGCTAATATTTGAATGATCGATCCTCTTCTGAGTGATCCTCTACTTCATACAGATACTGATCATAATAGTTATCAATAACCTTGTAGACTGAGACACTTATGCAACATATGGGAATCTTTATTAGGAAACATTCCGCCACAACGGCTACATCAGTCCAATACAGAACAGAGAGGGATAAGGAAAGGAGGAGTTTGTATTGGACTGATGAAGTCACTGAGTGGCGAAACGTTTCCTCAATAAAGATACCCAAGAGTTGCACATGTGTCTAATTTAACAACACGTCGGTTCTTTGAACCATTCATCTACAATCAATACAATACATAGACATAATCGGATGAAACTGTCTAAGGTTACAAATAAAAACCTTGGACGAAGAGATAAAAAAACACAAACAATTCAGGCAACCATTATTAGGTATCCCCTTCTGGGATATCTGATCATTCATAATGTATGGGGAGGTTTAGTGCTGCCGGAAAAAATTATACGAGGACAGGTGACGTCTAGTAGTTTGTGGTGAAGTGTGAGAGGTGCCCAGGGCGCTGTTCTATTCCTGGGAGAATGTTTGGTGAGGTGTGGCGATGTGTGATGTTAGGTGGTATGGGAATGTGTCCAGGACACCATCCATCCCTAAGAGGAGACGTGTACCACACGATTAACAAGAAGGATATGCTGGTTAGCCCATAGAGAGAGAGAGAGAGAGAGAGAGAGAGAGAAGAGAGAGAGAGAGAGAGAGAGAGAGAGAGAGAGAGAGAGAGAGAGAGAATAAACAATGTTATAACATCAGAGAGCAGAGTTGTTTACTTGCTAACCGAGAGACAACCATGGGCTGTAACTGGGACTTGATTAATGGATGTTTAAGTCATGTTAAAATCTTGCGTTTTAATACACAGGACTTCGAACTATAAAATGTTTATTTGTCTTTAATCCCAGTTTTAAGGATTAAAATGTTCTTGATGTTTGCTTGCAGTCGAAATACGTCTAAAATTAATTTAAATAATGATAATTAAACTGAGGAGTGCGCAATAAAGAAAAATAAGATGATTTTGGCGTTGAATTCTCTAATTTTTAAGAACATAAGAAAGAAGGAACACTCCAGCAGGCCTATTGGCCTATGCGAGGCAGGTGCAAGTCACCTACCGGTTTATGCCACTGACACAACCTAGTCAGGTCCAGGTCATCTACTTAAGGAAGGAGCAAGGCACCAGACCTAGTATCACAAGGTTTTTATTTTTAACTTGAGAAAGCTTCTTCCGATTACGTCCCTGAATTGTATTGAAAAAACCACCGGAATGTTGCACATGTTTGGTGTAATTCATTATCTTGTCGGTATCGAATACCACTGACATTTAATTATATTTGGTGTTTTTAAGAGGGTTAATTATAATTATAATGACCGCTAATTGTATGACGTAGAGGATCACTCAGAGATTAGTTGCGTGATGTAGAGGATCACTCAGAGATTAGTTGCGTGATGTAGAATCACTCAGAGATTAGTGATGACGTAGAGGATCACTCAGAGATTAGTTGTATGATGTAGAGGATCACTCAGAGATTAGTTGCATGATGTAGAGGATCACTCAGAAATTAGTTGTATGATGTAGAGGATCACTCAGAGATTAGTTGCATGATGTAGAGGATCACTCAGAGATTAGTTGTATGACGTAGAGGATCACTCAGAGATTAGTTGTATGACGTAGAGGATCACTCAGAGATTAGTTGTATGATGTAGAGGATCACTCAGAGATTAGTTGTATACGTAGATGGATCACTCAAGATTAGTTGCATGATGTAGAGGATCACTCAGAGATTAGTTGTATGACGTAGAGGATCACTCAGAGATTAGTTGTATGACGTAGAGGATCACTCAGAGATTAGTTGTATGATGTAGAGGATCACTCAGAGATTAGTTGCATGATGTAGAGGATCACTCAGAGATTAGTTGTATGACGTAGAGGATCACTCAGAGATTAGTTGTATGACGTAGAGGATCACTCAGAGATTAGTTGTATGACGTAGAGGATCACTCAGAGATTAGTTGCATGATGTAGAGGATCACTCAGAGATTAGTTGTATGATGTAGAGGATCACTCAGAGATTAGTTGTATGATGTAGAGGATCACTCAGAGATTAGTTGTATGATGTAGAGGATCACTCAGAGATTAGTTGTATGACGTAGAGGATCACTCAGAGATTAGTTGCATGATGTAGAGGATCACTCAGAGATTAGTTGTATGATGTAGAGGATCACTCAGAGATTAGTTGTATGATGTAGAGGATCACTCAGAAATTAGTTGTATGATGTAGAGGATCACTCAGAAATTAGTTGTATGATGTAGAGGATCACTCAGAAATTAGTTGTATGATGTAGAGGATCACTCAGAAATTAGTTGTATGATGTAGAGGATCACTCAGAGATTAGTAGTAAGAAGAAGAGGATCGATCATTCAAATATTAGTTGCATAAAGCACAAAACCATTCAGAGATTAGTTGTATTAGTTGCATGAGTATGCTTACTCAGAGATTATAGCAACAAGCAGTACTAACAACAGAGGTTGTGTTGAACTGGGTCATTGAGGTCCTGTTTTGGTGGTGGTGGTGGTGGTGGGTGACTGATGGTGGTGGTGGTGGGTGACTGATGGTGGTGGTGGTGGGTGACTGATGGTGGTGGTGGTGGGTGACTGATGATGGTGGTGGTGGGTGACTGATGATGGTGGTGGTGGGTGACTGATGGTGGTGGTGGTGGGTGACTGTTGGTGGTGGTGGTGGGTGACTGATGATGGTGGTGGTGGTGGGTGACTGATGGTGGTGGTGGTGGGTGACTGATGGTGGTGGTGGTGGGTGACTGATGGTGGTGGTGGTGGGTGACTGATGGTGGTGGTGGTGGGTGACTGATGATGGTGGTGGTGGGTGACTGATGGATGGTGGTGGTGGGTGACTGATGATGGTGGTGGTGGGTGACTGATGGTGGTGGTGGTGGGTGACTGATGGTGGTGGTGGTGGTCAGTAATGGGGATGGTGATAATTAAATAAATTTGCACATTAAATAATGAGTAAATTTTTGATTAGCGGAGTGTCATAAACACCTACTCGAAAGTACACGATGTATACAGTGGGAGGTGTGTGTATGTGTACTCACCTAGTTGTGGTTGTAGGGGTCGATTCATAGCTCCTGGCCCCGCCTCCTCACTGATCGCTACTAGATCACTCTTCCTGCTCCATGAGCTTTATCATACCTGTGTGTGTGTATGTGTGTGTACTCACCTATTTGTGGTTGCAGGGGTCGAGTGTGTGTGTATGTGTGTGTGTATGTATGTCTCAGAGTTTAATCCCCATTTTATGGGATTAACGTATTCTTGACTGGGGGTAAAGAGGTCACACACAGCCTTAATGACCCCTCATGTAGTCGATAGGATTTCAACCAAATTAACCAACTCAAAGTGATCCGAACCCACTTATGAGTCTGGATCACATTTCCCTCTTTTTGTTCTACCACAGCAATTATTATATCTAAAACAAAATACAAAACACCTAAAATTATAATAC